GACAGAAGCATCAAAGTTTAGGCTACTTTAAAGACCTAACTCAGCAGAAAAAACAGAAGGTAGCGTCTACAGCCACACGAAGCAGGTTATAGATTCTAAGGCCATTATGTAAGGCCCTTTTAACCTGATTAAGAGTTCTTTATGAAGAAGTTTAAATTAAAAAATTATTGGAGATATCCTATCTCCTAGAACTGGAAGGGACCTTGAAAGGTCATCGAGTCCAGCTCCCTGCCTTCACTAGCAGGACCAAGTACCAATTTTGCCCCAGATCCCTAGGTGGCCCCCTAGTTAGACTTAAGAAAAGACTTCCGTATTTTTCAGTTAGTCGCCATTTCTTAAGTAGGCACCATGAGAGAGCATGCAGTTTTAAAATAAAATAAAATAAAATAAAATAAAATAAAATAAAAATAAAAGAATCAGTTATGGGGGCAATTAGCCCTTTTGCTTTCTCTCTAGGTATCTTTAATATGACCACCATCTGATACTTTGCACCTCCCTTATGCATATACTTTTTCGCTTTCCTCCCTCCCCTCCAATGTTCGCAATGGAAGGAATTACACCAAATAGCTACATCTGTGCTATAGAAGTGGAAGTTGAATTGATTTTTAGTACTAAACATCATCTTATGTTAAGTTAAAGAAGGGTCGTTGCAGTGTAGGGGGCAAAAAAACAATAGAAACAAGACAACCATCTGTTGGGGAATCCTTATAACTTTACATTCTTTAAACCACCTATATAGTTTATTGCTTAGTTTCAAATTCTGTCAAATACCAGTGCTTATATGTCAACTGTGCCCCAAGGCTAAGGAATTCTGCCCAACATTATACAGCTTTGAAATACGTATAAGCTAACATTTTACATTTCCAGATCTTTAGCCAGCTAAAGTATGCACAGAATACACTGCTACAAAATATTCAGACAGATGCTTTAAAATATCTACGTCCAATGTTATGACCCATTACAGCACTGGTCTGTCTAAACAACTCCCATACAACTTTGTTATTTTTAATCACTAAAAAACACAACTACAGAAGACTTACTTTTGGTGCAATACAGTTAACAGGCATTTGTTTATGGCAAAGAGAAAGCATATTTAAAATATTTATTCTTTTATTGGATACTCTTATTATATTTTTCCCTTCATAGTAAGAGGTAGCTTTTTATATACACTATAGAAACACTCATTTCTTAAGCCTAACATTGAAATTTAAAATGTTATCAAGTAAGATATTTGATGGTGAGCACACTGATGCACATTGATAGTACACATTCATTTATCATCAACAGGCACAGGGTATTGAGATTTGCAAGACATCTGTACTCCAGAATTCTTGGATATCTCAGTACTTTGCCTGGCTGTCCTTTTAGTTATGAGAATGCAGGGTATAGAATAGGTACACATGATACAAAACCCAGCATTCAGTTTGCAATTGCATGCCCCCTATCCTATCTTAAAATTTCATATATATTACAGCAACCCCCTTTAAAAAAAAAAAAAAAAGTTAAGTTTCCCTAAAGTCAATATGCTCATTTTAAAAGAGTCACTATCAACTTGAAATGTTGATACCAAACAAAAAGTTAAAAGTAGTTTCAAATTTTTACTATCACATTTTCCCATTTTTATCTATTATTTTCTCGATTTTTGTCAAATGCACATAGCAATCTGAAAGAAAATAATTGATTTTGTATAATTATACTTTATCTTAGGTGCTACTTGTAATAACTGTAGGTTAAAAAAAGTGAAAAGTATGATTTTGAAGTTGACAATATCTCTATGGATTGAAGGGATGTTTCTTACATTTCAATACACTTTTCTTCTGTTTTCTTTCTGTTGTCAATCACAAAGGCCTCCCAACTATTCATTTTCTACTTTAACTATAAAATGAAACCCACCCATTCACAATTTGCTAGATATGTACATTTTTTAATTTGGTTCTCCACCCTATTTGGCCATTCATCCTTGGGTGCCATATTTCAACTTCTCTTCGCCAACTATACAGCAGAGATGTCAAGCTTTTTTCAAAGCCACTCCACTGACTAGAAAATAAGATGTTTGTTAGAAAAGTAGATGTGCTTATCCACTTTATTCTGCCTCAATATTTCCATTCTTCATTGGTCAAAAGGTAAAAGACACCAAAGCTATACATTCAGATCTCTTACACAGGTGAACATACACCAAGCCACACAGACAACTCATTTGTATTTTGTGCTTGTTATTCCTTACAAAAATATAATGAAGTTAAAAAGATTTAAATAGGCACAGGATAGTAGTGATGAGCGTGGCACAAAAACTTAGACAAATATGCAAACAGTCAAATTTTCTACTGAATACCAAATTTATTCCATTAGACTTCTTGAATATCAGGATATGCATATTGCTTACATTGGCACCAGCTAAGAAGAGTTCTACAGTGCAGTGCTCAGCTCTTCTGGGGATTTGAGTTTTTTTCCTATAAGTAGTCAGATGCTTTACAGAGTTCTGTGGAGGAAATGCCTGCAATTTGCATAAGTTTGCAAGTCTTTAATATTTATACTTTAAATTTAAAATTCTGTTGTGCAATTATGCAAGCATCAGAAAGAAGAAATGACTGGAGATGGCAGGACTGCTATAATATTTACAGCATACACATCTTCTCCAGCAATCTAACTGAGGCAGGTGGAGCCTTTTGCCTCTATGGAGCAGCAATGAAGTAAATGGGCTCCTATTGAGCACAAGGGTCCACACACATCAGATTGCAGGACTGAGGCCTAGATTTAGATACATATTAATACTAGTGGCATGAAAGAAATACAATACATTCAAAGCAAAAGCGAGAAGTGAATGAGCCACAAACAATGGGACATAGTAACAGCTCTCTCTTTCCAGGCCTGCACTGTTTTGTTGAATGCATAATTTTAGAACTCAGTAAGCCTTTTTAAACAAGATACATCATAGCCCTTTTTAAATTCCCAGCCTAAAATAATTAAACCCCATGTCTTAGAAGCTAGTGTCTCATAGGCCTAACACCATTTTAAGGTAATATTCTGATAGTTGAAATGATACCAAAAGAAAGAGTTTACATTCATGTAAAGATATTAAATACTATCATTTTTCATTTTCTGTAACATCATTCCTGTTGGATTCTTAGTTATTTGAGAGTAGTTTAAATATAGTTAGATTTTTAATTTGATTAATTTCAACTCTAAAAACTACTTTGAACTGGCAGCATTAGTACTTCCCCTACACCCCAATTACCTGAAATAATGTAAAGGTACTTATTCCTTTTTGACATTTCCCTTTAATTAATTAAGGTAAATTTATGTTTTATTAGCCTGTCAATATTTGCATATTTCTAAGAAAATGTAACGGTGGCAGTGAATGTTTATTCCCATATTCTTAACAAGAAATAACTTATTTCTACCCGAGTGGTGAAGACTATTTAATTATAAATTAATATCACCTAAAAAATTTCATCAACACTCCTTATGGCTCTAAACTGGAACATAAATCCAACACAAGTCACATTTTAGTTTTTAATGCGTATTTGAGCACTGACTAGCACTGCTCCATAGCAGTTTTATTCATCAAGCACATCCAACAGGTCAAATAATTTCATTAAGCGGTACTGGAGAGTTTATTCAGGTACATTTGTTCTGTTTCCGAGGCACTACCACAATAAATAATAATTTCAACAATTAGTTTATAAAGATTCCACTACAATAGTATTTAGATACTGCAGAAGAGCAAATTTCTTTGATCAGATTTAATAGTATTTCCCACATTTAAAAGACCTTTACTAAGCACAACAATGAGACATGAATTACCAGCAAGTTGATCTTGCAAAATCCACACAAACACTTCATAGGTAACTTACACTATGGAACTGCTGTCTTAGGTTTGAATCTCCCTTTCATAGGTTTATTCAGCATAGACAGCATTCAATATTAAATACAAGAATAATTATAAACCAATTTTAATGCAAAAAGCAATAGGAAAATATTCAAGAAACAGGCAGTGACTTATACCTGCCTCATGTTTGTCTAACTGGTCTGTTAGCAAGGGGCCCTTTTTTCCTGAAATCTGTTTTAATACAATATCTATTTACTGCTCCTATACTTTTGATAGTATTTGCCCCTCCTTTTAGCAGACTTATTTTGAAAGAACCAAGTATAAATACGCTCAAGAAGTGTGGTGAATTCCCTCCCCCACTCCCAGAGCTATAACCCACAACGGATGAGCTATAACTATGGCCTTGGAAATGCAAGTTCCCCTGCCCCTTTTTAACACACCAACATCAATTCAAATTACGAGAGACCTATCCTCTTATACTTAATAAAGACTAAGCCAATGAGCATGTAAGTCTTGGCAGAAACATTTTATTTCCTCTTCTCTAATAGGGATCGCCTTCGCCTCCCATACAGGTCCGGAATGAACTGCAGCAGGGGTAAGTATAAGGATCATCACACCAGTCTTTGGTGGAGGAATAAATCAAACATGGCTTCCCCCTCCATACATTTCCAGAGTTACTCTCTCACTCCTACTGCCATGGAATCCCAGTTCTACCCACAGGGAAGGCAGCAGTAGCAGCCCTCAGATGATTACACCACACACAGTCAGTGCAATGGGGGGAACATGTATACCCACCACCACCATTTAGCGAGTTATTTTAAAGCCTCAAATAGATCTTTCTCCCATTTGTGTGTGTGTGTATAGATTGCACTGATTGATTTTCACCCTGGGAAGGGAGGTGACACCGACAGGCGCCTTATCCCACCCCTTCACATTTTCTCTCGCCTCCTGCAGCAGCGATGAAGAAATTGGGAGGGTGGGACTAGAAAGAGGATGAAGCAGCAACAGCCGGGACTCCAGCTTCGGCATTGCTCCTTTCCGCTCCTCCAACACCCAAGAATCAGAGGCCCAGCCAACACCAGTAATCTTGCTGCAGCCTCCGGCGGGAGGATGGGCAGACACTGGGGGGAAGCCGGGGGTGCATGCAGCGGGGGTCCGAGAGCCACCCGGGGGCGGGAGATGAGCGAGGGGGGCCGGGGAGGTAGGGGAAGCCTCCCCCTCAGCCCAGGAGGAGGCTGGGAGAGCCGGCTAGCGGGGGAGAGCTAGACTCCCGCGAGGGCAGGAGGATCGGGAGACCGGGGGGATAACGCCGTTGGGTGATGGAGAAGCTAGAGGCCACCCCCCTCCCTCGCCTCAGCACCGCGGACCACCCCCGCTGCCAGCCGCTCGCCCTCCCAACGGCAGCGCGCGGGGCCAGGACACAGCATCCCTGCGAGCAAGCGAGGTAACCTCACCGCCGCTCCCGCCTCCAGCCGGGGCCTGCGGTAGCGTGCCCGGGGCCTCCCCCCGCCCCAGGGACACCGGCCGGGCCCGGCTCGCTGACCTGTGCTCTGGCACATCCTCTCACACAGGAGCCGGGCGAGGAGAGAGGCGGTGGCTCGATGCCCGCGAACGGCGGCAGCCGACAAGACGCAGCGGCAGTAACGGCAGCAGCGGCGGCGGCGGCGGCTCCGGGAATCCTGCGCGGCGGCCCCGCCCCCTCCTCCGGCCAGAACCAGCGCGAAAAATCCCCGCCGCTGATTGGACGCCGCCGCCGCGCGGCCCTTGGAGCGGCTGTTTCAAATCCCCCCGCACGGAACCGCCCGTCTACGCAGCCCCGCGGCCGGGAGCGGGGTCAGGCTCTGCCTCGGGCCGGGCCCTGCCTCGCTAGCCCCTGCGACAGGCGGTAACGGGACCTTGATTGCAAACGGCGGGGGCCTGGAGGATGGCGGGAGGGAAGCTGCCGCAGGGCGGGGTGTGGGGACTCCCCAGACGGGGCGGTGTCGTGTCTTGCCCACCTCATGAGTCACGGCGCAATAGACCCGAGGAGCTGCCCCTGTGAGACCCCCACACGCGTTCACCCCCTGCCAGCCAAAGGCGGAACAATTCCCCTCAGCACCCCATACGCCCCCCCCCTTCTGAACCCGTCCTGCGCCCTCCAACCGCGCGAAGGGCTGGCCCTGTCCAGGCCGGGCCTCTGCGCCGCGGCTGTGCTGAGTCCCATACTGTTCCCTCTCCACTGCTGGGTGGAGAGAGTCTCGCCCTTTTACATGTTCCTCTCCCTGCCCACGGCTCAGACTGCCAGGACAGATGCTCTGGCTCCCACCCTAATATTTCCTCCTTTTCTGAATCCTTTTGTAGATCAGTAGGTGTAAACTCTCTGCTGCCTCTCACCCTGGGTTATAAAGTCACTCCATTTCATACCTGAGGCCTTTCCTTTCCCAGGCATTTAGACATCCGTCTACAACGGTGGCGGATTTGGGTGTAAGTAGACGGCATAGTCTCCATCATCGTAATCCAAACAACCTTAACTCTACCTTTTTGGCTTTGTCTAGACTAGGATTTAAAGGTGGGATGTTACGTGTTAGCTAGTCCCTCCCTGTGCTTTAACTTGATCAATTTAACATCTTAAAGGCAGCATGGATTGGCCTGGAGTCTCCTGGAATTGGCATCAATCTCCCAGTGACTATTGACAGCAATCAGGTAGATTTTAATAGGTTATTTTAAAAAAATGATTGTTATGTTGGGGGGGGGGAAATCTCCCAGAATAGCTTCAGTCAGAGTTGGCAACCCTACTTGCATACCTTAGACTTTTAAAACACATTAGCTAAAGGCTAACATCACCTTTTAAATCCTAGTGTAGACAAGGCCTAACAGTCACAATAACTGCAAAGTGTAAATGAACCCATTCATGGCACAGTTTCTGCTGAGAATGGTACACAAAAACATCATTACCTAACTTTTACTCATACAAAGATTAGAAACATTCTGGCCTTCCATACAACTAATTAAAAAAAATCCAAGACATTTTAACCACTCAGGTTAGATTTCAGATATGACTGTCTAAAACATTTCCATATTGCCTATCACAGTACTACATAAGCACATCTGGGTAGCATTTTTTTCCTTGGGGAGCAAAATAATTCCACCTCTAACTAGACAAATATAATTGGAGACAAAGCTAATCTTGATACGAGATCATAAATATGTCCATTATATCAAAACAGAACTAATGTTGTAATAAACCATCAAACGTGATGATGCAAAGCACAGAATACTCGTTTATCCCAGGTCAAAATTTTCAAACTGTGGTTGCCTCAGTTTAGACACCAAATAAAAGCAACATGAATTTCAAAGGTGCTGAGAGCCCACAGCTCCTATTTAACTCAGTGGGAATTGTAGGTAATTAACATTAGGGATCCTAGTTTGGAAAACTTTTGCACAAATTTATATTATTATTTAAAAGGTTGTACACACCTCCCATTAAAGTCTAGGGAAAAAAACATTTAAGAACCACACTGCAGGAATAACTAGGTGAAATTCTGTGCTCTATGTTATATGGAAGGTCAGACTAGATTGGGGTTCTCAGCCTTTTTTGAATCACACCCCACTTCCTATTTATTTATTTAGTTTAGTAGGAGGCCTCCTCCTCAAAAATTGGTCTTTCCAATGTAATCTAGATGGAACTGGAATCATTAATGCATTGACTGAAAGAGCTGGGCTTGTTTAGCCTAACCAAAAGAAGTCTGAGGGGAGATATGATTGCTCTCTACACATATATGAAGGAATAAATACCAGGGTAGGAGAGGAATTATTTAAGCTCAGTACCAACGTGGACACAAGAACAAATGGATATAAACTGGCCATCAGGAAGTTTAGACTTGAAATTAGACAAAGGTTTCTAACCATCAGAGGAGTGAAGTTCTGGAACAGCCTTCCAAGGGGAGTAGTGAGGGCAAAAGACACATCTGACTTCAAGACTAAGCTTGATAAATTTATGGAGGGGATGGTATAATGGGATAGCCTAATTTTGGCAATTAATTGGTCTTTGACTATTAGTGGTAAATATGCCCGATGGGATGTTAGATGGGGTGGGATCTGAGTTACTACAGAGAATTCTTTCCTGGGTGTCTGGCTGGTGAGTCTTGCCCACATGCTAAGGGTTTAGCTGATCGCCATATTTGGGGTCGGGAAGGAATTTTCCTCCAGGGCAGATTGGCAGAGGCCCTGGGGGTTTTTCGCCTTCCTCTGCAGCGTGGGGTATGGGTCACTTGCTGGAAGATTCTCTGCATCTTTAAGTCTTTAAACCATGATTTGAGGACTTCAATGGCTCCAGACACAGGTTTGATACAGGAGTGGGTGGGTGAGATTCTGTAGCCTGCGTTGTGCAGGAGGTCAGACTAGATCAGGGATGGGCAACCTTTGGTACACAGTTCGCCAGGGTAAGCACCCTGGCTGGCTGGGCCGGTTTGCTTACCTGCCACGTCCTCAGGTTCGGCCGATCGTGGCTCCCACTGGCTGCGGTTCGCCGCTCCAGGCCAATGGGGAGCGGCGGGAAGCGGCGCGGGATGAGGGATGTGCTGACCTTAAAGTCTATGATTCTACTTTAACTAA